CATTCTTCGGTGTATCTTAGAAGTTTTTCAATCGTGCTCTTGCTGCGTCTTATTCCGCACCCGACCGCTACCGCTATTTATTCACTCTTTGTTCACCTGCTGAGACTTTGCTCTGTCATACATATTCTGCTCTGTCACTCATCGACAACCTGCCAGAGGGTCTTTATGAACATGCTGCACAGACCCACGAATAAAATGCATTAAGCAGAAAGCGCTGGTCCAGCCGTGCGATGCGTGAGTGGAGGCTTTACCTGTGGTCGATATGAGCGAGTAATAAAAAGTATAAAACCAGCTCAAAGTGCAGAAACGCTTTTCTGAAAGGACGTCAGGAATGGATTAATCTATTGTTTGACCGCCCGCTCTCATTTAAATTAAACCAGACTTCCGACCACTGCCGCGTTTTACACGGAAAAATTAATCCTGCGTTGCAAAAAATCTGGTGAGGTCCTGCGGTTTTTCGCGGTATCACCATGGGAAAGCACACCTTTAGTGTATCCTTCTTTGTGTTCCACAGAAGAAACTCAGTCACACTTTATATTAAGTGGCCTTAAAGGAGTAGTTCAGCCAAAAATGAAAATCCACTCATGCTTGTAACAAACCTTAATGAGTTTATTTCTTCTGTTCAATGCAAAAATATAATTGACTTCAATTGTAAGAAAATCAAATACTACGCTAAAACCCACCAGTCAACTTAATCAAATGAAATGAGTGTAGTTAACTCAAAATTTACTGTAAGCTAATTCTACTCATTTGAAAAGAGTTTTGAACTCAGTGTTGAAGGTAATGAGTTAACTAAATATTTTATTACTATAATTGGATTAAGTCCACCGTACTCATATAAATTAGTTTTTTAACTCAAATAGTTTGTTGTAATCGGTTTCCTCAATTGGCTTGAGTTGCCTTAACTTAATGGGTTTTACATTTTAATGGGTTTTTAATGGGTATTTGAGTTCTCTTCATTCATTGGGTTTTACATGTGATCAAATTGCTTTGATTACTCAAATGAATTAGGTTCACAGTACTCATTAGGATTAGTTTTTAAACTTAAATAGTTTGTTGCAATTGGTTCCCTCAAATGGTTTGAGTTACCTTAACTTATTGGGTTTTACAGTGTATTAATGGTTACAGCTTTTCAGCTTTCATTAAAATATCTTTGTGCACAAAAAAAAATATTCAAAGATGATTCCTTGGATTTACTCAATTTGTTACATTAAGTGGATTTATTTGGCCTGAATTTAAACAATTTAAGTTAAACTTTAATAAACTTAATTTGTTTGTTTAAATTCAACACATAACATTCAACACAAAAACTGTTTGCAACAGTTCTCCATGCAACATTTTTTTCAGTTCACAAAAACATGTCTACTTATTTAAAATGAGCTGAACCAAAACAAATTTTGTAGTTTTTTTTTTGGAACAACTTAAATGTTTTATGTTCAATTGACTTAAATTTGTAAAACAAGTTAACAACTGATTTGTGTTGGGACAGGATGACGCACTTGTGTGGAACGCTGCACTGTATTATAGTGAACAGAGAAAAGAAACTCAAACAACTTGAGCGTGAGTAAATAGTGAGTACAATATAGTGCTTTTAATCTTGGGGTGATCTATACCTTGTACTACTAGGTACTTACATCAGAAATAAATAAAATGTACTTATTGCATTAACATTTGTATACCTCCTGACAAAAGTCTTGTCGTCTATCCTAATTGTAAGAGCAATAAATTATAACTTGACTTCTAGCTGATCATTTGGAAAAGTGGCAGAACCATCTGTTGAACTGCATCATCACAAACACTGCAGAAGACCTACTGGAACCCAGATGGACCCAAGGTTTTCACAAAAATCAGTCAAGTTTGGTGAAGGAAAAATCATGGTTTGGGGTTACATTCAGTATTGGGGTGTGCGAGAGGTCTGCAGAGTGGATGGCAACATCAACAGCCTGAGGTATCAAGACATTTGTGCTGCCCATTACATTACAAACCACAGGAGAGGACAAATTCTCCAACAGGATCGCGCTCCTTATCATACTTCAGCCTCCACATCAAAACTGCTGAAAGCAAAGAAGGTCAAGGTGCTCCAGGATTGGCCAGCCCAGTCACCACACATGAACATTATTGAGCATGTCTGGGGTAAGATGAAGGAGGAGGCACTGAAAATGAATCCAAAGACTCTTGATGAACTCTGGGAGTCCTGCAGGAACGCTTTCTTTGTCATTCCAGATGACTTTATTAATGAGTGATTTGAGTCAGTGCAGAGATGTATGGATGCAGTCCTCCAAGCTCATGATGGAGTCAGACACAATATTCATTCTTTCTCCATTGCTGCATCACTTTATATTCTATACTGGACATTATTTGTTAAGTGACGAGACTTTAATCTAAGCAAAGTCAGACCCTTACTGTCCTAATGAAATCATTAAAAATCAAGGCATGATCATATTTTATTTTGGTGTAATAAGCATAATCTAGAGGCCTTTGCCTTTCATATAAGCCACTTCTGAGACCAAAGGATCAACTTGATGTCAAGTTATTTGTTTTTCCTAAAACTTGGAAAGGCGACAAGACTTTGTCAGGTAGTGTATTGCAAACAGTTATGAAGCTATTGAGGAGCAATAACGCGTAAGGTTATGGTCAGGTTTGGTTGTATGGGTAGGTTAAACAGTGAATTAAGGTGTAAAGGATGGGTTAACAGTGTAATTCTCAATGCTACAGAAATTACTTACATAAACATAATTTTAGAAATATATAAGTGAAAACATGTATGTACACAATAAGTGCATTGTTGCAAATGATTAATTTAAATGCAAGTACATTGTAATTAGGGCCACCATATAAAGTGGGACCAGAAACAGTATTTAACTTTTGGATAAGCCTAGTACCGGATATAAGTAAAAACTGGTTGTAATTCAAAAATCATAGATATATACACTAGATATGGCATACGGATCCTGAGCATGCGTCAATAGCGCTGCCATATTTGTACAGTGCTTCCAGGACAGATGTCATTCAGCCGCACTGGTCAAGACTAATACCAATCTGAAGATGCTAGACTTTAGTGCTGCGTATGGGTGTAGTAATGAGCAAACAAAGAAAACGTAGGCAGAACATTTCATAGGTAAGATTTATTTTTTTTACGTTTTTGTAAGTTACTTATTTGTACTAAATGTTTGTGCTTTCATTTTAGTTGTCTTTTACTTCTTCAATTCCATTTTCCAAAACGAATCCTCTTTGCACTTAAAAAGTTTACAATAAAGCGTGTTAATACATTTTAAATGATTAATGAAGGGATTATAATGCTTTGACTTATTGTTTCATATCATTTACAAGCACAGTAGCTGCTGTATGGGCTATTTCTGTCCGTTCGCATCCCGTCCCTTTGCGCCCCCTGGCGGCTCACTCACAAACTGCGGTCATACACTAAAAAACACAGCGGCACCTATTTCAAATGGCGGCGGTACATGCTGCGGCGTTAATAGCCAGTTTGAACTCTCACCTACTGTACAAACTTTTGTGCCCAACAAGTAACGTTATTATTGATAACACAGTCAGGTTGCACTGACCATAAGGCAACATAGCACCAGCTTACACTAAATACCAGGCTTATGCTAGTTTGGTTTAATAAAATCAGCAAACAATGTAAATTAATTATGATAACAGGCCGCTGCAATGCTAGAAACTTGTATTATAGTCGGCTAAGAGAACAAGTCGTTCATAATGGGGATTCATTAACAAACTAATCGATCCCTTAGTTAAAATGAGAAGTGAAATTGGCAGAGGGGGTGTGTATAAGGACACCAATTTGATCAAATTTAACAGGGAGGGAGGAAAATACATTATTAATTCAGTAATATCCGAGCGGTCACCAATTCATCGATGTTGAAAAGTGATGTAAAATTATAATTTTCGTTAACACATATTAGCACACTGAACCTCAGGAAAACTCCAGATCATAGATATACGTGTATATACCTCTGACCCTGGTTGGCCAGACTTCCACAACACCTTGATCTTACATTACTTTTAAAAAAGTGCTACCCTGTACCAAGATGGCAGCTCTATTGACGCATTCCTTCCAATAGAGACCAATTGCCTAGGCGACATCTGATATAAATATCTATGTACAAAAATGATTAAGACTGAAATAAGTAAACAAACACAATAATTTAATCTAAAATAAAGTATCATATTTAATTCACTGCTCCTGGACATTTCTTTGTAGCCATTTGTGAAACTATATCAGAATATTGAAAACCTGTTTATACACCGATTGTTTATCTGAGTATTTAGAGCAGTAGAAATATCACGTTAAGATAAAATCATAACAGACTGCATTTCACATTTGATTACTGAAGATTTATTCCCATATAATATATAATAAAAATATGATTCATGAATGTTAAGAGAAGCTATATGTGTGATAGTAAAGTACTGTTTATTACAATAATTTGGGATTTGAATCCCAAAAAAATGAATGTAAATCCAATATTATAAATCTACTTGATATTTTATATACACACACATATATATATATACATATATACATATATATATATATATATATATATATATATATATATATATATATATATATATATATATATATATATATATATATATATATATATGTACGTACGTACGTACATACATACATACATACATATATAAATATATATTATTGACTCACAATTGGCAGGTTGTTACATAACACTAAGGGAGAATGTGATGTAATAAGGTGTAATTATTGTCTAATAATTTAATGGACCAGAGTCCAATGTTTTGGCTATACTCTGGTTCCCAGACTGTTCAGATGTTGTATTGTATTTCAGATTATTTGTCAGGTTTTTGTCCTCAATCTGCTCCTGTGTGTAGCACTAGTTTCCAACACATCTCTTTCAAAGCGCTCAGTTGTGTTTTAATATGATTTTTGGCTGTGAAATACTCATTCAGTGTAGTGATTAGGCACTGTAATGCACTCAAAACCAAAACATTACTCTTAATTTCAATATCTGTCTGTTTCAGTATCTGTGTCCTCAAGATCTGCAAGTATCAGCTTCTAAATGGTGTCATTTTGATGTCAACTTCTCTTTTTCTGTGAACTCTGCAGCACTTTCACACCAATCCTGAGGAACATCAGTAAACTGCAGGAAAGACAAAGAAAAAAAATCAACCATAATGAAAATGTTTTTGTTATTATCACTCACACACACACACACACAATAAACAAATTTCCTTGCCTTGCTCCGGCCATAAATCCAGCTGGCATAATCTTCCATGAACTCAAAAATCTCACTCCCATCAGAGCAGTCAGTGATCCAGAGGTGCCTACAAATACAAAACATAAATTCATTCATTCAATTGCTATATTTTAAGGCATACATTTCTATGTGTGTGTGTGTGTGTGTGTGTGTGTGTGTGTGCGCGCGCAGGTTTATGTGGTTTAATAAAGACACAAAACTGTATAATGACATGTAATATCAGGTGTGAATTATGTAATAATATTACTTTCCTAAGTAACAAGTAATGCATTGCTTTTAAAAAATAATAATAATAACGTAACGCAACATGTGACATTTATTAGCTTTTAAAGAATAAAATGCTGATTTGAAATTAAAGTAGTCACAATGAATCACGCAGTCAAGCAGAGAATGTGCCCTATATCATACTTGCCAACATTTGTCTCTGATAATTCTGGAGACCGGAGGGAGGGGGTGTTCGTGGGTGAGGTCTCTGAGTAACCCTGTTGAGAACCAGGATAGGATGCAGCGGGTTTAGGGCGGCTGCTGCGATCGGTTACTGTACCAAAGTTGGTGACCTGGGTGTGCTTATAGACAGTACCAAAAAAAAAGGAGGGGGTGAAATTACGGGAGTTTTCCGGAAGAAATAACAAAACGGAATGGTTGCAGGACATTGGTCTGAAATACACGAGACTCCTGGGAAAAAAGGGAGTGTTGGCAGGTATGTCACACACCTGGAACAATAAGGCGCAAGATGTGTTTGCCGTGATTTGTTGCTATTTTCACACCAGCGCAACTCAAATAATCCTGTTTTCCGCCACGTTCTTTAAATAGCAAATCAATTTGAGCTACTTTGTAGACTCATGGGTGTGTGGCTCTAGACAGGAGGTGTGTTAAGGCGCACTGTTGGCACGTAGCTATTTTGAGGAACTGAAATAGTCTGAAATATGAAATTGATGAAAACATGAAACTGATAAATGAAAAAAAAAATGAAAGAATTATAATGTTTCAAAAAAATATTATTTACTACACAAGTATAAAAAACACTGCCTCCATGGCCTCTTAATGTTGGAGGGCTTTTTTTTTTGTTTATTAATGATAATTTGCTTTTGTATAATGTAATTATTATTATTATTATTATTATTAGCAGTATTATTTATTATATGCATATTTTATTTTTGTTTTTATAAAAACAAGTTTAGATGTGTCCATCTGTTGGGTTTTGGAGACATCTGCATCACCATACAGGGCATATAATAGGACGTGTGTCTGGATAGCACTATAGTCATAGTTTTTTGACTATATTTTGTTATTATTGTTCATTTGTTCTTTTGCTGGAAATAAGAACTGAATTTAGAAATAGTTTTGAAACAAATCTTTGTACTTAACAAACTAAATGAAATGTGTAACCTAATGGATGTCTCAGGAGAGTGCATACAACACTGTTTCCTTATCCACTAAAGTAAAGGAGTAAAGAGTAACAGTAAAGAGAAAGTAAAGCGCCGAATGGAGAAGGCTTATTCTTTATCCTCGCTCTGCAGATGATCTGTTTAACTGTGTTCTGTTAGTAAAGTGTTTAGTTTTTCAACTTACAAAGTCCGCCATGTAAATAGCAAATGTGCTTTAACATGACTCTTAAAGGGAATAGGAGACTCTAATTGGTTTAATTCATGTGATGCTCAAAACACACCCATAACCCAATAAGAAAATAAGCTCAACCCTGTTGATGGTACAAAAGTGGTACAAAAAAAATGGTACAAAAAAAAATGGTACAAAAAAAAATGGTACAAAAAAAAATGTACCAAAAATGGTAAAAAAAAAGTAGCAAACACATTGCTTTAAACTTTTAATAATCTGTAAATACGCCTGGGGTCAGAAAGTTGTTAGATTACATTATCCTGAATACTTTTTTGATGTGTTTTTTTAAAGGGAAATATAGGTGTAGGTTATACAATGCGTTCTTAATTACAGAGCTCCTCTATTTAAAAAAAACGAGACCAAGCCTTAGCCAGGTAAGAAAAAATGACTCTAAAGTAATGCAACCCATTGCATACCATAAAAAGTAACTAAGTATCGCAACTAGTGTTGGGGAATTCATTGTGTCTTGATGAATTTCTGATGAATGTATTACTCTCATTTAAATGCTTATTATAGTGATTTCAGTATTATTATTATTATCTATTGTATTATTACCCATACCTGTGGCATTATTATCAGGTATATGTGCTTTGGTAAATTAAAAAAGTAATTCTGTGTAAATGCAGTCAGAGATGAGAAGATAAAATAGAAGAGCAGCATTAATGTCACAATGAGGGTAGATTTATGAAAGCAAGGCCATAAGGACACCTGCATTCTTTTCTGTAACTCATTATAAGGCACACCTGCACGTGCGCCCACACTCATTTGTAATGACTTCTAAAAAATATGAGTATCCATGAACTTGAGCTGAACTTACAGTTGACAGCTCAGTGGACAGTGAACAAGATATATTGTTGAGCATTGTTTTTTGAGTCATCACTTTTGAAACAGGAAGGAAATACCTTAACTGGACATGGGTAAGACCCCTGAAAGACCCTGAGACTTTATTAGTGGCGGGCACCTGAGAGAATTAAGATCCCATTAGCGGAGAAGCTGATGGAGGTGTGTAATGTGTATATTTGGGTGGAGTATTAAGACACAGAAATGTATTGAAACTGTGTGCAAGCCTATGTTCGGCGGACATTTTAACGAACTGTCTCTGTTGTTACTGATGCTGTAACAATAAAATGCTTTGCCTAAAGACTTCGGAGATCATAGACTTTGTCTTTTTTTGAAGAGTTTGACTTTGAAACTTAGAAAATAATTTGAAGACCAGAATCTTTTTTCCACAACACTAGTTACTTTTTGGGAAGAAACTCAACATTGTAATGGATTACGAGAGCTTGAAAGCACGAGACTCCTGAAAGACCCAGAGACAGATGAGTCTTCGCATTGATCTCGTGGGACAACCTGAACACCCGCAGGTGACCTCTCACACCCGCAGCTTCTCCATAATGGGCGTCCAGCGTTCTCCAGCCTCCAGCGCCTAGACTGCAGCTCAGCACATTAGGTTTGGCCAGAGGAGAAATGGTCATGCCCAGCTAAGCCTGGTTTCTCTCTAGGTTTTTTCCCTTCACTTTCGTCAATTGGTGAAGTTTGTTCTTTGCCACTGTCGCCACTGGCTTGCTTAGTTTGAGACTTGTTGAGCTGCGTATACGTTAGATTTGCTCTTTAGTGTTTGGACTTTCAGCAGTAAAAGTTAAACCACACTGAACTGAACTTAAACTCTGAAACTGGACTGACACAGGATCAATCTACTCAAACTTCTTCTATGCTAAGCTGCTTTGACAATCTACATTGTAAAAGCGCTATAGAAGTAAACATGACTTCAATTGAATTGAATATAGAGTAACTGAGTAACATAACTAGTTACTTTTCTGGGGAATAGTTCAATATTGTAATGGATTACTTTCAAAAGTAACAAAAGGTCATACCCAGTGTTGGGGAAAGTTACTTTTGAAAGTAATCCATTACAATATTAAGTTACTCACCAACCCCCAAGTAACTAGTTGGATTACTTGGTTACCTTTTATAGTAAGTAATGTGTTACATTACTTTTGAGTTACTTTTCTGACCTGGCTGAGGTTTGATTTAATGGGGTTGCAGGGTTTTATTCTTCTCCTTTTTTAAATAGAGGAGCTCTGTATAACCTACACCTTCATTTACTGTAAATAAAATACTTAAAAATAATAAGAATTTAGGATAACCTTATCTTCTACTTGAAATGTAAGGCTCTGCCATCTTTGTATTTTTCTGTTTCCGCTGCAAAGGCATAACCTCGCAGATTCAACGTACGTATGTAAGTTCATTTTAATTCAGCAATTTATTTCTTAAAAGTAACTCTTGTTAAATTTGTAAAAAAAAAAAAAAAAGAAATTCAAATATTACTATTTACTTTTTAAAAGTTATGCATGGCTTAACTTTGATACAAAACATTGTAATGTGTTAGCCCCAACACTGGATATGACCTAGTTGTACTTTATTAAGATGGGTAACAAGGACATGCCTTAGGAGTAGGGGTAGGGTAAACCCAAATAATTCGTATTTTGGCACTATAGGGCATTTCAATGTGGTGATGTCATTGCCTCATGAACATTTCAAGCTTGTGATCAAACCATTTCATAACTGTAAGAGGCAATTCAATCATAACTTCATGTTAAAACAGCGATCATAACATTATTTATCAATATGTGGTTCTATTTGGATTCTCACAAGCTATAGAAATTAAACATGTAAAACAGGAAATACATTGGGACCACTGTTTTTGTTTACATCAAAATGGTCTATAGAATACATTATGCCTACAGAGATTCCTTGTAAACCAGGGGTCTGTTCTTCGTACCTCGCTTAAATGATCTAAGATGATTTGGCAGATCCTGGATCTTTTAATCTTGATAACTGATCTCTGGCTAATTTGGTTCTTCAAACAAGTTCGTGAATCAGATTAAAATGTCTGGTTAAACTGATCTGAGATCGCTGCATGTGTTGTGAAGGACAGATCTATCGATCCTCGAAATCATGATCAGCTATGCAGCGATTGGCTGACGGCACAGCAGCGTAATGACATCATCTGATTAATATTCAATTATCCATGTGAGCAAAATTACGTCAAATTAGCAGTAAATGGTTTGTTAAATATGACACCCAATAACCTTCCACATTTGTTGTGAGCGGCAGGCTTTACACTTTCATGTTTCAACAGTATTTATCATGCATTTCAATGCATATCAATGTGTTTAGTTCTGCATTTAGAAAAGATTTTCTTTATTATAGTAGCCTTTTTTTAATCGGTGTAAAGAATAACTGGATGTTTACAAAAGCGTTTTGATATTGGTAAAGGTGTCTGCAACTTTTATGAAGCATTAAATCACCGTCATATTAACTGTTAAAACATGTTTATTACTGCATAAATGTATTATTGCTTTAAAAAAATCACATATTGTGCATGCCTATTATCATACACAAATTGTACTAAAGCGATCTTAAAAGTACATAACAATCTTTGCACCACAAGGTGGCAGTCTTTGTACTTTCATTTCGGGGGTGCAGACAATAATATAAGTTTTATTCATATAAAACTTTATTTGTTTTATTAATAACTATCACTTTATAAAGGTTTAAAAAATTTAGTATTTTCCCAAGTGTATATAACTACTACTGTAAGAAAATATCTGAATTCGGTACATACTTCTGTATTTGGCTTGAACTGAGCCGATCTAATCCTGTTTATATGAATTAAACCTGCTTCCGACCAGGTTTGAGCTAGCAGAACTGTTTTTATGACAACAACTCTCAGGTCAATTTTGAAGAACGAAACGATCCTGGATCATGTCAAATCGTCAATAACCAAATCCAGCTAACTGTGTAATCCACGTACGAAGAACGGAACCCAGATCAACAAGTGTGTGTGTGTGTGTGTTGTGTGATTTGTAAAGACAGTGATTTACCCAGAGAAACCCAGATATCTTTGTCATTCTTTGACATCTGATAAGCACCAACAAATGCTGCTACGCCAAACATCAGACCAGCAACCAGAGAGATGAAACTACCTGCAGCAGAAACAGGAGACCGCTGACCATATTAGGAGCTTTCAGTGAAGTTACAGGAGGTTTAGGTTTGAACAAACAGGTAATGTGTAAAAATTAATGTTTGATAATGAAATTTGTATCTTTGGGCTTTGTATGGCAATTTGTCTTTATTCATAAGCAAAACTGTTAAAATGTCAGACACTAAATTGCTTGAAATTTGCTTAAAGGGGCTAATAATTTTGTCCCTAAAATCGTGTTTAAAAAATTGAAAACTGCTTATATTCTAGCCGAAATAAGAAATAAGACTTTAATTCAGAAGAATAAATATTATCAGACACACTGTGAAAAAAAATCTTTGCTCTGTTAAACATCATTTGGGAAATATTTAAAAAAGAAATTCAAAGGAGGGACTAATAATTCTGATTTCAACAGTATACATACACACATACACATTGGCTTTATTATTTTTGTAGATGTACAGTGCTCATCATATATGAGTACACACTTCACAAATCTCTCATTCAAATTAATATTATCTAATGGAAAGCTTTACAGTATAACGTTTGTGCACATACATTAGATTAGTCAGTACTGAAGCCTAATGTGGAGGTAACCTAACAAAAGAGCTTATAATAAATAACGGTCCAAAATTAGTACACCTACATTTATAAGCTAGGGAAAATATTAAATAAAACAAGTAAAAAGAGCAAATTAAAAGAGAAAAAACGTATAATAAAAGAGAAAAAAACGTATTACAATTTGTTGAAATTGTGTAGTTTTTTATTTCCCTCCAATGTTTCACAATAAATTTAAATGTATTATCTTTCTATTTCTAAAAATGTTCGGTGACTATTATCTTAATAAAAATATTTGTTTAATAAATCTGTTTTGTTCAAAAGCACTACAATATATGATCTATATTCACTGAGAAATTGATAAAAATATTCATTTTCAAACTGGGGTTTACTCAATTATGTTGAGCACTGTATTTGTTCATACACAGCCATATATCTCATATTTTCTTTTGGAAGAATAAGCACTTGTGTAGTATGGCAAATGTTAACAAGCCGTTAATTGAGTGGGTTTCATTTTAGATATATTTTGTCGTTTAACGTTAAGTATCAAACATACTCCAACACTAAACCAACTTCATTGTCGAGTGTATCGCTACCTGCTTTAGCATAACCGACAATCCCTCCTATCGTTATAAGAGCAGCATAACCATAACCAAGCCAATCCATAGACATGTTTGCAGGCTTTCAAAACAAAGAATATAACAATGGATGTTTTGAAAGTAAAACTAAAGCCGCTTCACTTCTGAACTTCCTGAAACACTACAGGTACATAAAGTTCCAAGTTATTTTCAAAATAAAAGTCTTCATGCTTACGCGAGGGTTTTCCTATTTTTTATTTTTTTAGGTTTATCAGATTGTTTGAAATTAAAGTTATTTTTCTCTAATAATTTGTATTACTATAAATGACTATTATATAAATCATATGAAACATAAATGTTGTAGATTTAGATCACAATACAAACCAAAATGATTTTTCAAAACAGATTTTTAAAAAATGTAAAAATTTTAAAGCCCCATATACAGTTTTTTGGCTCATATTATGAATCGGAATTGTTTTATATTTGCTTCCACTGGCGATGAACTGTTTACTAGATGAACCTGCGTGATTTTTTGCATGATGATCCACATCTAGAATTCACATAAAATCATAATAAGAGCATATTTGAGTAATTAGTTAGATGAATATTACAATGAATGATTGTATACCTGGCCTGTTATCAAAATGATGATGGTTTAAACTTTTAAAAACAATAGACATAATATTGACAATCAAGACAAATTAATATGCAGGGTGAGTCAAAAAGAATACCAACTTTGAAAATCTGTATTTAATCAAAGAAACATAACCCTTTGATAATTAATTAATGTGAAGAGTACTTAGCAACAGGTTTTTTTTTCCAGTAGAGAACAGGTTCATAGGTGTTCAATATGACCCCCTTCAGACGTGACATCAACCCAAAAGTTGTGGTATTCTTTTTGAATCACCTTGTTTTAACCAATAAAATATAAGTATTAAAAATGCTAAATACCTAGTCAGCTAAATACAAAATACATGTGCTGCATCCCAATTCGCATACTTATATTACGCCCTAAAAGTATGCTCTATTTTTGTGAAGGAAAAGTAGTTTGCCAGCTTTGGGACATACTTCTTCCTCGTCAACAGAGCGTTACGTCGTTACTGTCACTCATCTAAACACATTCCACATTTTTTTTTATATTACCTACCTTACAGGAGGAGAAGCAGCATCAGGATAATCTGCCAATCGCGAGTCTTTCATGCACAGAAATATCCTCAGGTGTTTGGATAATACATTCAGAAGTTAATGTCCAAACATATCTTGATAAGTTCACATTGTTGTTGTAGCTAGATGTAATATAACACGGAAAAAACGTGGTTTAAATATTTCCCAGGAAACTATTTACTCATTAATAGTCATTCAAACAACTTTACCCAAACCTCTCTACTTGACGGTTGGTCTTGTGGGTCCGCCATGTTTGTAGTTTATATAAACTTTTTACCCAACTTAGTTTTAATCAAATTCACGTCCAATACGTAATGTATCGGTAATATTAGAGTATGGACGGTTCTACTCTACACAAATTTACCAGAAATAGTAAACCATCCCCACTGAAAAAGCTTAAACCAGCCGTAGGCTGGTTGGCTGGTTTTAGCTGGTCAACCAGGCTGGTTTTAGAGTGGTTTTGGCCACTTTCAGACTGGTTTCCAGCCATTTCCAGCTAAAACCAGCTTGACCAGCCTAGCCAGGCTGGGAGTCCAGCCAAAACCAACTGTGTCCAGCTCAGACCAGGCTGTTCAAGCTGGTTTTAGCTGGTCATTTTCCAGCCTGACCAGCTAAGACCAGGCTGGAAATGGCTGGAAACCAGCCTGAAAAGTGGCCAACACCCCTCTAAAACCAGGGTGGAAACTAACTAACTAGTATACGGGAAACTTTGGTATACTCTTCTTCAACATAATATGGTTTGGGTTTCTATTTTTAAATACTATTTAGGACAGATAGTATGCAAATTGGGACAAGCGATGATATTCTCTTTGTAGTGGTTGACTAACTTTAGGATCCCCCATGACTGTAAACATGTTCAAAGTTATAGATATACACTATCTCTCATTAATATGATCTGTTTAAAAAATTACTTTAATATTATGACAAGTTTTAAAAACAGAGGTCAGTGGAAGTAATGCAGACATGTGCGTTTATGCTAGCAACATGCTAACTCATGTCAGAATCATGCTAGCAATATACTAAATTAATCCTAAAGTCTAAATATAATGATTATATTTTACCAGAAAACATCTAAACTGTAAAAAGGAACCTTATTAAACTGAAAATAAACCACAAAAACCTATCAGTGGAGATTTAACAGTGACTTGCTGTGCATATAGCCCAGGTGTGGGCAAACTTGATTCTGGAGGGCCAGTGTCCTGCATGGTTTAGCTCCAACCCTATTCAAACAGACCTCCCTATAGAGTGCAAGTGATCTTGAAGACACTGATTAGTTTGTTCAGGTGTGTTTGACTAGTGTTGAAACAAAACTCTGCAGGGACACTGGCCCTCGAGGATCAAGTTTGCCCATCCCTGATATAGCCTGTTCATAAGATACCTTTCATTTGCAAAGCTAAAATTTGGTACAACAAACTTTTAGCCTCGGCTTTCTCAAAGCAACTTTACAGTTTGTGTTGCATTTAATATCTTAAAAACTTAAAATTTATAATTATGTGCCATTTAATTGGCCCCTTGGCTTTTTGCAGAGTTTCAGTCTCTCAACATTAATATAAAATCAAGCTTTCTGATAAAATACATTAGTCAGCCGGATGCAGACTAAAAATAAATGTACCATAAATCTCAACGAGGTCCTCCATTAAAAGCACCGACTACAGGCTCTCTTCAGTCGTATTTTCAATCACTAAAAAAATGGCAACTATGTGCAACCAAGGCTATTTAATTGCCCTTCGTGGAAATTTTGTTTCACAACACACATCTAAAACAACACTTAATATAAAAAGTACAGCAGTTACAGGGAATTATTGATGATTAAAAGCCACTTTAGATTGCAAAATTGGATTTGTGGAGCAAGCAATGGATGTAAATAAATAAGGCCAAGGAAAGCAGATTTCACATCAGTAACACTCTCTCAGTTTATGAACAGAAGATGTCATTTCATCAGTGGGCTGTAGGCTTGAGAAGGAGTGAACATTCTAATATATATATATATATATGACCAAAGCAGTCGAACCAGGGTCAGTCCAAGCAGCCAAATTCAGCCAACAGGGCAGAGCCGGCCCAAGGCATGAGCGAACTAACCGGCTGCTCAGGGCCCCGTGGCCACCAGGGGGCCCCCAAGAGTGCATGAAATTACTGAGTGACTTTCGCTTTAGTTTAAGTTTGTTGAGTTGTGAATTAGAGGTGGGATAAAATATATGCTCACTTATCGTCTTATCGTGTTATTTCAGACCGCGATACCTTCTCTGGCGCCAAGATATTTATCTAAATTTACAAGAGATCTGAATTACTTAATTAGTTTTTCACACTGACTGCAGCAGATAACTGCTTTAGCTACAGTACACCCAGCAGCCACCAGGTGGCGCATCCCATAATGGCAAATAATCAGGGTAATCTAAATCTAAAAACATGAACAGGGCCAATGGACAGTCTGAGGCAATGTCAACTGAAGAAGAAGCAAAGGTAAACGAAACAAAATTTGGAGGACAAAAAAAAAAACACTAGAAAAGTTTGAACACCTCAAAAATTCAAGAAGGTGCAACTCAATCAATCTCTAGCTTCCATGATCATGGATCAGCGGTCATATCATGTGCTCAAATTCCAAGATGTCCTCGCTGCAGCCCACAGCTTTATGATGTAGACAACTATGTAGCGGACCTTGTACACTAAGGTAAGGCCCATGCTACTGTGAAGGTTGGGTTTAAGGTATGGAGAGGTGTAGGGGATCATTCTTGTACCGCCCACTAAGGTAAAACCCATGCTACTGTGATGGTTGGGTTTAGGGTAGGGAAGGTGTAGGTCAGTGGTTCTTAAACTTTTTTCATCAAGTACCACCTCAGAAAAAAATAGTCTCTCCAAGTACCACCAAAATGAGCAGATTGAAATACAGTAGCGTAGTAGGCCCAGTAAAGCAGCTACAACTCTGCACAATTAAAAAAACGTGGCAGATTACCCCAGAAATATAGGCTATATGTCATTTATGGCAATATTATATACGTATTTTTTTATCAATTTTGAAATGTGTATATTATGTACATGACATATTTCGTTCCCCCGCGTACCACTAGAAGGAAGCCTGCGTACCACTAGTGGTACACGTACCACAGTTTGAGAACCACTGGTGTAGGGTATGGTCAACTACGTAGTGGACCTTATACTGCCCACTAAGGTAACGCCCATGCTACTGTGACGGTTGGGTATAAGGTAGGAAGAGGTGTAGGCGATCCTTCTTGTACTGCCCACTAAGGTAATGCTCATGCTACTGTGATGGTTGGGTTTAGGGTAGAGGGAGGTGTAGGCGATCGTCAACTACGTAGTGGACCTTGCACTGCCCACTAAGGTAATGCTCATGCTACTGTGATGGTTGGGTTTAGGGTAGAGGGAGGTGTAGGCGATCGTCAACTACGTAGTGGACCTTGTACTGACCACTAAGGTAACACCTATGCAATTGTGACGGTTGAGTTTAAGGTAGATGGAGGTGTAGAAAATCAATGTTGTACTACACAGTGCACACTAAAGTAACGCCCATGCTACTGCGACAGTTGAGTTTAAGGTAGGAAGAGGTATAGGCGATCATTCTTGTATCGTCCACCATGGTAACGCTCATGCTACTGTGACAGGTTTAGAGTAAGGGGAGGTGTAGGCAATCATTCTTGTATCGTCCACTATGGTAAGGCCCATGCTACTGTGACGCTTGGGTTTTGGGTAGGGGGAGGTGCAGGCAATCATTCTTATACCACCCACTAAGGTAACACCCATGATACTGTGACGATTAGGTTTAGAGTAGTGAAATGTGTAGGCAATCATCAACTACATAGTGGACCTTGTACTGCCCACTAAGGTAACGTCCATGCTACTGTGATGGTTGGATTAAGGGTAGGGGGAGGTGTAGGCGATCATCAACTACAAAGTGGAACTTGTACTGCCCACTAAGTTAACACCCATGCTACGTTGACGGTCGGGTTAAGGGTAGGGGGAGGTGTAGGTGTAGGCGTACGTCAACTACATACTGGACCTAGTATTGCCCCCAAA